TCTCTGTTTCTTTAATCCTGCGGTAGAAAAAAAAAAATCTCCTCAGCTGCTTTTGGGGCTTTTTTCCTCACTAAACAAAAGCACATACATACATATCTCTGACTGAAGTTTGAGAAGTAATTAAATTCTGTGCAGAAGTTTCTGCAGACCAGAAAACTATGAGCTCATAAAGCTGAAAGGACAGACAGACAGACGGATGGGGGGGGGGGGGGGGGCATTCCTCTCCAGACACCCAGGCCTTGTTCCTGTGCCATATTTACATGATTATAAACCCCACCAGGTCTGTCATTCATTTTTAAAATGAATCATAGTCATTCCACTGGGAGCGGAATGACCAGCGTAATCGACGCACATCGATTACACATCAAAACACTGGCGACACAGACTGATACGATGCTGTTTTTGGATACCCACCTCCGTCATGCTGTTAATACCTAATTCAGTTACATTTCAGAGAAGAGGTGATTTGATTCTGTGATTCCATCACTGCAATCATATTGTGCAGAGTCACAGGCGACTCTGTGAATGTTGATTTTACAAAAGGAATGTGTGTAATACAGTGGAAGTACATAAAGCAGTGTTTCCCAATCCGGTCCTCCGATCCGGGATGTGCAGACAGGCCGTGTTTTTGCTCCCTGCCAGAATGTGGACTGTCTGCCAGGGAGCTGGGAGGGAGCAAAAACGCGGATAGTCTGTGGGTCTCTGAGGACCGGGTTGGAAAATACTGACATAAATGATAAAATGACAAGAGCAGCATCTGTGAGAGAGTCAGGTCAGTGCAGGCACACTTAACCTATGAGAATGAAAAACTAACTGTGAGTGAGGTCTGAAGTCCCGGCTACGCGTGAATGAATTACTCAGAAATTGCTACCAATCAAGTCACGATGTCTTGGTTCTGCGAGACGGTAAGGGCTCGACTGCAGCGTATGGATGCAACTCGCAGAAGAGACGGGGGCGGGGGGGGTTATAAAACAAAGTGGAAAGGGTCTGTTTACAGCCGTTTTCCATGCAGTCCTCCGGTGCTTCAGTCACATGGGGTTGCTCAGCGCGGGGGGCACGCGAGCGACGGGCCGTCGAGGACAACAAAGCGAGCCTCAGATTGGCAGCCGGGAAGCCAGTAACGCCCCGGATGACGGGCCAGCTGACACGGTTCGGCTATTTCAGAACCGAGTTAGAGCCCCAGTGCTGCATGTAGCAGGTACGTGCCGCTTACAAGGCACACCGCCCCGCACCGGGGCTTTCAGGTTACAATCCCACTTAGGGAGGGGCACCGTGTTTAAAAACACCTCTGGGTCTGGCCCCACCTGCCCCAATTCGGCCTAGTGGACATCGCGTGAAAAGCCCCAGCTCTGGTGAGAGCCACGGGCCCGACAGAGATGAATGACTACAGGGGCTTGGAGCTGCACCGCTCTGTGCCCCATGCGGGATGTTCTACTGCCTGCAGGACGCACACACGTTTGTCACTTTCACACCCTCCTAAACCCCTGGGCCACATTACCGGACCGGACTCATGCGCTTCCAAGTTACTGGATCTTTATCACAATCGTGTCAGACAATCTGCAGGAGAGGTGGCAGGAACCTTTGGAACAAGCAGCCTTCTGGTGTGAATGTGAGCTTGCTTTATTCAGGCTGCGTGCTCGCCCTTCCCTCACAGAAGGCTCTGGAAAGGCTTCGCTCCATGTCTTGCAACATATCTAGGGACCTGTCATCTTCAACACACTGCCTGGCTCAGAGGCCTGTTCACACTTGACGAAATAAAAAAAATAACGGAACATTATCAATCATGCACGATGCTGACACTCCCAGAGTTCGAGTGGCACATGGCACGCACACGATACGCATACTGTACGCACACGGTACGCATACTGTACACACACACGATACACATACGGTACACGCACGGTACACATACTGTATGCGCACGGTTCACATGCTGTATGCACACAGTTCACATACTGTTCACATACTGTACACATATGGTACGCACACGGTACACACACGCATCACACGCAGTAATGTAATGATGCAGATGACACATTCACAATAGCCAAAGCAATACAGGAGTGATCAGAAAAAAGTCAATATCCACATCAGAATCCCACCTGGAAACTGGCTTTCTCTGAAAATTCAGTCAACAAGCGACATCCAAGCAACCTGACCTAAAGAACCAGGAGCAAGTTTACCATGAAAAATGGACCAAATCACTCCAGTATAGTGAAAAAAAACCTGGTAGCTACTTACCCCAGAATGCTGCAGCAAATGGTGGCTCTACCAAACACTAATATATAGGGCTGGAACACTTATGCAAGCAGCAAATTTAAATTTTTGATTTTGTTTAAAAGTTTTGCTAACAATCAACTTTCCCATGAGAGGGAATTTCCCATGAGAGATGGTGAGTTTGCAAAGAAAATCCTGACAGGAAGAGTATGTGTATGTATCATGTATAATTCAGAAATATCTGATCATTATAAAGGGGCTCCATGCAAGCTGCTGCATTTCACCATAAGCTCTGTGACACGATGACATCCCTCCCAGTCTATCCTGTGACCTCCGGGACCTCACTGCTGCTCCCAGTAATTCCTATACCTGCGTTATCCGTGTCTGGCCCTGACTTGAAATCTCCGGAGCTCCTCGGTGATAAACGGACATGCAGTCTATGCCCGCAGCTCCTGGCTGCCCCAGTCAAACCCGATTAAATTACGACTCGTCAATGTCTCGCTCATCGATTGATAAACGAGCTATCCGAAGCCGAGGGCTCCTTCTCGAAGAGTAAGTGTAGAACATCAACACCATCGAAGAAACACGTTTACGGATGTGACACGACGAGATGGCAAAGCACTAAATTACTGTTTAAGCAGTTTTAATGCGGCCCCTCTTGTGCAAATATTACAGTCTTTTCAAAAAATATTCTCTAGTCCCCTGGTGAAATGGAGCATTTCAGAAAAATGATACTAGTTCTGGGTGGGTTTGAACTTTCTAAGTGTGCCGTAGATTGAAAAGCTAATGCTGCCGTTTTATTAACCCTAATGGGCTTGATGTTCCCAATCAATAACCTGTATTCAGGCACCATTAAGTTTCACCAACTTACCAGCATGTGCTTTTGATCATGTCACATGGCTGTCCCGGCCTGGACTTATTTATGCACGCAGACAACACTTTAGATACGTATCTGTCTAGCCGGAAGTATAGGGAGAGCAGAGGAACGTCACAGTCGCTGAACCTAATGAGTTCGCGATTGTAGCCACTCAGCCACTGTACCGGCGACTGTGCACTGCACTGACCCTGCAGTGTGCCTGCAGTGTGCCGGCAGTCCATCAGAAAATCCATCTCAGGCCGTCTCCAGCTTACACACATTACACAGAAAGGAAGCATTTTCAGAACGGCTACCGGTGCATGTGCATTCGGGAAGCGGCACTCGTAATCATCTTTATCCTAAAACGGCGACAACCTACTAACTGTCCCTTAGTTTCTGTCATACCGTTTACACGTAATTTTCTTTACATAACCGTCAAACAAAAAATGCTAAAAGATGGAGGCGGGTGACAACTGTCACGTCCACATGAGCGTTTGGGAAAGCGAGCGACAGATGAATGCAAACTTCAAAGTGACGAAAATTATTAATAACCTCGTTTTTTTTTGCCTTTGGTCCATTTTTTTTCCTCCTACAGACTGGACAAACGGGAGAGCTTTTTTTTTTCCAAATTCCGTAGGCATGTTAAATGATTGTCTGCCGTGCAAATGATCACTTACTTACACTCTGTGAGTTTGCCTTGGATAAGGCACGTTACTGATTGAAAGTGAGCCTGGGATCACTGCAGGCAGGGCTCTTACATCTCGAACCTGAACTAGCGTCCTTACAGGGAGCGTGCACACACACAAACTCTCCCAAGCCAGCGAGTCTGGGCACTATTTCCAGTAAGTACCTTCAATCGAAATCTTCACTGAGTACCGACTACAACCCACAGCTTCCCTCTTGATCTTACCAAGTTTTCATCCAGGCCATAAACATTAGATACCAACTTCACTATCAGACATCCAGCACGAATTTCACAGAAGCAGACGCAAATCTGCAGAGATTCACAAACCAGAGCAGCCAGAATGGTGAAATATTTATGACACAGTGACAGTCGGCAAAAATGGATGAAATGAGTGAAGTGAAGGAGTCTAAGTTAGTTGCGTTTCCAGAGACAGACATTGGAAGGTATGAACTGTAAAGAGCAAGGATTTCTTTAAATGTTAAAAAGGTGAAAATGTAAAAAAAAAAAAAAAAAAAAAAAAACAACAACTGGTGGGAAAAATGTGTCAAATTCAAACCGATACCATCTTTTCATTCCTCTCCTTGCAAATAGTTTCACACAGTGGTTCAGCTATGAGATGGAAATAATTTATTCAGTTCACTACTGATGCTGTGGTGTCATCAGGTTGGAGGAAATTGTGGCGTCTGTTTGTAATATGATACGGAAGCATAGAAAAGTTCCCAGGGCGCTTCTAAGGGCGAGACAAGCGTCACCAAACGAAGACAGTGAAGCCTGCTTTCGTCTGCTCCTTTTTTATTACTGGGAAAATAAAACCAAAACCGATTTTTCGAGTGACATAAGCATTGCGACGACAGAATCTCCACTGGACTTTTTCCAAGTACATTGCTCAAAACGTGTGCGAGACAAAAACTAACATTAGAGAAAACTGACGTTTACAGTGAACCTCAAATAATAAAAAAAAACTAATTCAGGCCTTGCAAACACAAGTCAGGAACATGTACGGGACTCTGAAACACAGCATCCGTACAAACGACAGGAAGAGCTTTGAACATTACATTTATACAAAACAACATACATTTTTCAAGGAAGCAGGAACAACTGGGCATTAAGCGCCTTGTTCAGGGACCTCTTCAAGTGAGTCTGCTGACCGAGGGATCTGAACCGCTGCCCTTCTGATCACAGACAGGGCATCCTAACAATCAATGTGGGGTCTGTCTACCGCTGCCATGATGAAGGACCAACCTGCTGACGTCAGGGAAGCGGAGGGGGAAGTAGTAGATGCGGCACTTTCGGCGAATGAGCGCATCCAGGCCTGCGGGCCGGTGGTCGGGCATCAGCTTCAGGAATGTGGGGATGGAGCTGAGGAAGGACTCCATGTTGAAGGACGAGTTAAAGAGCACGACGTCTGCCACCAGGCTGCAGGAACGGGGGGGAGAACCAGAGCACAGGATTAACGGCACAAAAGCACGGCAAGCTAATCTGGGCAAATTAAACATGCGATACAAAATGCCAACATGGCGCCCGCTACAGCCCCACGCTGGCGTTTATCAGGGTTTTCAGCAGGGAAACGCACAACGCGGCACGGCGTATTTATAAAAACAGACGTCTAAAACAGATTTAGCCGCGGAGCCACGGAGCGCCTGCAAAGCCGTTCTGCGGAAGCTTCCGGTTTTTCAATTATAAACTACAGAGCGGCATTCAAAGATTGGGGGCTCATTAAGACAGAGAAGTTTGGTCTTTGATGAGCGTAATTAGCTGGGCTTGGCAGAGCAGAGCTGCCTCAGTAGCCCCACCCCGGGGCTCTGTTCACCTTCTCAGGACAGGTGACGAGGTTTTACCCTGGGGTGGATTAAGCACTGAAATAACAGCAAGCGACCTGGAACAAATAATAATTATAATTCTGACAACAAGGAGGACGTTGCTGCTAAGATTCGTTTATTCATTTGGGTACTCTTTTAGAAATATTACATTTACATATTCAGCAGATGCTTTTGTCCAATGTGCCGTACGTGTGAGGACAGCTCAGTGTTAGGGAGCAGGGTGAGGAAGTTTCCGGAACCCTGGGAACAGCACGGCAGGCGGGCCTTGCTGAAGGGCACAAAGGTGAGGGCATTACTCTGCCAGTCGCTGGATTCGAACCCACAACCATCCGGATATAAATCCCCTACACATCACCCCACATTAATTCAGGCTAGTGAAGTATACCCGGTAGTTTGGCATCCGGTAGGTCATGGTGCCAGGATGATGTCAGAGGGAATATAAACACCACAGCCAGCAGGGTATAGGGGGCCACTAAGGGGCACGCTGTGGAATCCCCACACACACCCGTGGTACTATGTCTGTGATCAGAAGGTCAGTAGTTCAAATCCCAGGGTTGGCAGAGTGACTTCACCATTGGGCCCCTGAACGAGGCCCTTAATACCAAACTGCTCCAAAAAGTATGATGATTTGGATAGAAGCACCTACTAAACAGATGTTAATAGTGTGTGATTACTGACAACCTCAAAACAGACACTTTTTGCTACCCTCATAGCATCAAGCTAATTAGAATGACCTAGTGCCCTTGCGGCATGCAGTATCCTCCATAGTGGAGACCCACTCACTACATTTTAAAAATGTCCATCTTTAATTACAGATAAATAAAGATTTGAGCGAAGAAACATTTTGCAAATTTAGCCAGCAAAACACTTCTAAAGTTTCATCCATAAGGGCAACTTTAATTTGGAAAATCTGAATTGCTCACGTAAACACTAATAAACAATCACATTTTAAAGTGGCCGTCTCCTTGTACATTTGTTTCCGATCGTCGTGATTAATTACGGCGCGTTGTGGAAGAACGCAGCCGGACGAGCTGCCCTGGGAATACACACCTCTATGAGGTGGGGCCCTCACCATCTTAAAGCCATTCATTCATTTACAAGCATTTCCGCCTGGGCCGTCGCATAGCAGGGGGGAGGACGACGAGAAAAGCTATAAAGCTACACCTCTGAAAAGGGATGTCAGAGAACAGCTTAACCTGCGATACAGATGTCTGCAACACAATCCAAGGAAAACACTGCATCCGGAACATTCTGCTCCTTCGATTCTGAGCTCATATAGGAGTACATGCAAAAGCTGCCTGAATGACACAATTAACCCCAATCATACACCTTTAAACAAACATGAACAGTGTAGGCGACCATAGAAAGCATTGTGCACGATGAATGGAAATCGCTCACCTGTTACACGTGGCGCAAGTGAAGGGACTAGACCAAAGGTTATGATGGATTTACATTTATGTAGCATGTGTTGTATCAAAAGTGATATACAATTGAATAAGCAGGGGCAGTTCCTGGAGCAACTGGGGTAAAGGGTCTCGGTCAGGAGCCCAGTGGTGACATCACTGTGTCGACTCTGAGATCTGACCCAGTAACATTCCGGTGTAGCAGCCTAACCTGCTGAACCATGCACTGTTGTGATCCGGACGTGTTAATGTTTTATATATTCAGAGTGTTAGTCGTGAGGTGGCCAGCGGCAGCGGTACCATGAGAGGATCTGGTTATAGCCAAACTGGAAGTCACGCTCCTGGCACTTCCGGACCGGGTAGACCAGCTGGTTCTCGTGGAAGTACAGCACCTTCCGCAGAGGGGCAAGGTCGGGTCGCAGGGCGATCAGCTCGGCCAAGTTGAGCACGGAGCTGGAGAAGATCACTCTGAGGAAACAGAAGGGCCAGTACAGACAGCCTCCCAGAACTCCCAAAGACCAGCACCCCCCCCACAGAAGAGGGCCAGTGTAGACAGCCTCCTGAGACACCCCCAGACCAACACCCCCTAGCACAGGATCTGGGCTCGCTGTGGTTTGATGTCAGTAACGGGCCCCAGCCTGTGTTTGGGGCCTCACTGTTTCTCAGACCCTTCAGGGGCCCCTCGGTGTGCAGGCCTTCCTTCCCACATCAAAGGAAGAATGTGCGTCCCCCCACCCCTCCTGGAAAGTAAAACACACGTACATTCCCGCTGCAATGAAAGATTTGAGGAACAATTACGAGTTTAAACAGACAGAAGCCTCACAGCACCACCAGTGAGATGTAACGTGAACGCTCGGGATGTTAGGGCCTTCAGCCGAGGGGCATAGGTGTACATAGGTGCGTGCAGATCACCAAGGTGGGTGGGTTAACTGACAGGTCACCAAGGTGGGTGGGTTAACTGACAGGTCACGAGAAAGAACATTCGGCTGCCAAACTGTGGTGGGGTGGCTGAATGGAATTTTCAGACTAAAGTGAGACATGACAGAATAGCATTGAGGTGTTTGTGAGAAAACGTCTTGCACGGGAGTATTTGGGCCCTGACTTGGACCCCGCTGCCTTGGTACTGAGGCTCTGACTCGCCTCCACGCTACCTGGGTGTCGGGGCTCTGACTCGCCTCCCCGCTACCTGGGTGTCGGGGCTCTGACTCGCCTCCCCACTGCCTGGGTGTCAGGTCCCTGATTCAGTTCCCACTGCCTGGGTGTCGGGGCTCTGTGCATCGTATCTGACATCTCAAACGTCCCCCACAGTGAGATGGCCGACTCTGGGAGAACCTCTTTGGTTCGTCGACCCCAGAAACAAATTCAGAAGCTTTATTGTCACATGAACAGAGTACAATTTGACGAATTATTCCTTGCATAACTTCTTTGTAGACCACAATTTACAGATAAATGTGAAACACATCTGATTAAGGAGAAGGCACATTTCAGAACCCAGCAATGTCAGAGTCCGTGTCACTGCTTCAGTGACGCTGACACTCAGGCTGACCGTGTGTGGCTGAGCTGTCCCAGATCCCGCCACACCCCCGAAACCGGAACAAGCAATGGGGCGAAGGCTGAGAGTTTGTTGACGATCCGCCTTTGACTGACTAAGGTCATACCTAATTAACAGAATATCTCCTGTGTAAAAATAGCATACCATTAATTTTTTTTTCTTCATAAGTCTTAAAAAGGTTGACCTGATTTATAACGTTAAACTATACGAAGACATTTAAGGAAGAGATAAGAGCATTAAGGCGGGCTTCGGGAAGTACACGGCGCTACATTTAGCATGCCACGGTCAGTGTGAGCGATCCGAGTGTCACCGCGGAAACCCGGAATCAATGACAATCAATTACCAGGTAATGACCCCTTTGCCACCCCTCAGGGGAACGACAACGACGACGCCAACAGCACGGCTTAACAAGCTTAGCGCTGTGCTAACACCACGGTCAACATGCAAAAATATAAACAGATACTAATTATTTTGTCATAAAAAGGGTTTAAGATTCGTCAACTCTTTTGCATTACGACAATAAAACGGCGACTTTCAAACATTATCATTACAAGCACATTAGATGGGCATTAATGCCTGTGGTGGTGGTGAGGGAGGGGGGCTATTAACACCCGTCCCCACCAGTAAAGGGGCAGGAACCAGCCAAAGCAGATTATGTCCTCAAATCAAGCCAGAACGGATGATAAAGTCCCTCCACAGAGTCAATTACTGCATTTTCATTAAGGCACAGCATATTTTACTGTGTGTTAGTACAATAATATGGAACAGTGAATCTGGATTGACAAAGATTTATGCTGAATTGTGTTCTGGGCCGGAGCCAATCACATTCAAACCTTCAGAAGTCTTCAAAAGCCAAGTGGAAGTCTGTTTTGGAGACATCATTACAGTTAAATCATAATTTTCTGAAAGGGGACGTGAGTGAGAGACAGCTTTATATTTTTAGCATGTAGCGGAATGATGGGCACTATTTACATCATAATAATATGCTAATCGCCCTCTGAAACGCGGGTGAACTTTTGTGTCACAAAGGATGAAAATGGAGCATTAAAAGCCCAAATAATGCTAAGATAATTGAGTGTTTTCATGTTCTGCTCCGTTATTTTAAGAGTATTACCACGAGCGGGAAGGAATGCCAGAATATTCCTCCCGCGGCTGAAGTTTGCGGAATCCTGTAAACAATAATATAAATCTTCCCCTGAACGGCACGACAGCTTGGGTCTGGTCAGGACAGTCGCAATCCGGGATACCTGAGTCCGGCAATTTCCGCGTTCTCCTTAGCATTTTTAGCATTGTTAGCGAGGTAAGTTTTTGAGCAGCAGGTTAATAACATTCTGGCTCGTTCTGTCTCTGTCACGCTGCTTAATTAGAAGCAGCGTGACCTCAGCGGCCCTGGGGAGTCCACCCCCTGTTTCCCAGGTACTGCCTGTCGTATGATCCTCGAGATGGTTTTAACAGTTCACCTCACCTCTGCCGCTACACGGCGGCTCCATGGCATCGCTGAAAGCCACACGGCCCGCTAATAAAACACACACCCCCGTGCCTGTGAAGTGGGAGAGGCGGGGGGAGGGGATTCGTGAGGCTTTGAAGACACCCCCCCAGCCCTGCTCATCCATTGCCGCCCCAACGCCTTTAATGTGGCCAGCCCACCCAGCCGCGGCCCCCTGCACAATCACGCCGCTGTCCGCCCGCCCGCCCGCCCGCCTGCCCAGAGGAGCACGCTCGCCCTCCCCGCCTGCGGGACCGTGAACAAAGACGCCAACCCCCCCCCGAGCCAAACGGTGCTTTGACTCGAACCAGATGGAGGTTCTCTATTTTTACCTTTCCTTGCCAAGAATAGTCTTAGGGACATCCTGTGCAGCTCGGGTGTGGAGCAGCTGGGAGCGCTCTGCACGCCGCTACGCTAAGGTCTGACTTCAAGGAGCGCTTGGACCTGAAGACATGAACGGCTCACGCAGACTCCCCACCCTCCTGCAGGCCGTGGGAGTCTAAACTCTGGCCAAATGGTGGAGGTGGCCCATCAGTGCCGGTCAGAGCCCATGTAGAGCCCTGGTAAGCTTCACCGCTGGTGCTACACTGTCAGGAGATTGCCTGAGACAAAGTGAACCCAGCACCCCCTGAGAAGATGGGCTCTAGGAGGCGCTGATGACCCCTAATGGGTTGACTCGTGCTATGGACCGTCAATAAGCTTTAAGCGCCGCAATCTTAGATGTGTGCCGTCCCTGGCGGCTCTGCGGCTGCTCAGCTCTGCCCCAGAGACCCCACACCTGTGAGCTTTCAGGGGACGGCCTTTTTAAGTGCTTCCAAGTGGGTAACAACCGAACCCCCCCTCCTTCCCTGGCAAATGAAAAGCAGATCAATGCCGCGTGAACAGAGCTGATAGCCATCAGCGTTCGTGATTTTAATCTGATTAAAGCCACGGCCCTGGGAGAACGCCGCGAAAAGAAAATCAAAAAAGATGTTTCTGTGGCTCGTCTGATACGAGAGCCTGACGTCTCTGAGATCTCCGGCCCGGCCGATTGTTGAGAACAAAGGCTGTACCTCCGAGCGCACAGAGATGGGGAAATGGCTGAATGGGAGACACGGGAGAGGAGTTTATGCTGGTTGCTTTAAAGTCTTTCACAGCAAGACAAAAATAAAACTCAACCGTTTAAGCAACACTGCCAGCAACAGAAGGCACAAATACAGGGATACTCTGCTCCATCAGAAGCGGTAAAATCTGATAAGAAAGCCTCCAAAAAACGTCCCAAAACCCCCTCCTGCCACGCCGGCCTCCAGCTCATCCCTCTTTGCAGAATCATCGGGATCCGCCAGCACTTGCAGGACTGGCATCCCGAGCCAGACCCATATCTTTCTGCTTCCGAAGATGCTCCCTCTCCTGCCAGAAGTCCATGGGCACCCTGCGTGTCAGGGGGCTGGGGTGGGGATGCTGGAAACACTGCGTGCGACCTCCAGGGCGGCGCCATTCAGAGGGAGCGGCGTGCCACCAAGACAAGTCTAGCAAGTGAAAGATCGAGGGAGGATGACTTAGCGACCGTTACATTGCATGACGTGAAGACAGAGAGCGGTGCGGTGCCATTTCAGCGATGGCGAACATTTAAAATTGATTAACTGGGGCAATGTGTCACAGGAAAGATAAAAGAATTAAGAGTCAGGAGGCAGGCAACATCACACCCACGCCACTGCAATTTCTGTACTGTGCAGCCTCACAGCACCATTTTACAAAGGAGCCGGCCTGTGACCTCAAACTTCCATGCTGCTCTCCCCCCGCAGTGTGCCGCCATCTGACCTGCCCCATTTAGGCCCTGTTGCTTGCAGTGCCAAGCTGCTAAGTCATCATCCTCTGATCTTTCACCCGCCACTCTTATTTTGGTGCTTATAAACGGCGCCACCCTGCAGGTCGTGAGCGGTATCTCCAGTGCTCTGCCCCAGAAAGCTAGGCTCTCAGAGTGTCCCCCACCCCAGCCCCTGGCACGTACGATGCCCACTGGCTCCTTTCCTCCAACCGGGTCGATCAGCTGGTCCCTGGATTCGTACACACCAGCGGGAAATTGAGATTAATTCATTGTACTTAATTCTAACCTTTTCTATAAGTCAAGAAGTGTTCTGGGTTATTTCTAATTTAAAACTGGAGCTATACCAGCCATTAACACTCGGATCCTTATTAACGACATTTCAGGGCAAGCCATAGCCAAGGGGCATGGTTTAAATATATATAATTTAGTATCATTTGCAAAGGAAATCTGGGTTTTAGAGAGAAAAAAAAATAAAAAGTTACACTAATTCAGTCTTGGCCACCATGGATTTCAAACATGCACAGAAAATCAGCAATGTTTGTAAATCCTACCTTACTACAGGATATAGAATGTTTCCATCAGAAAGCCTCGAAGTGACTTGTGACCCCCGGACCTGTTCCCCTAAACCGTTACACTGAAATTTACCAACCTGTTCCCTGGTGAAGGTTTTAATTTCCATGAGCAGGGTGCTGGCTTCTGGGACATTGCATGTTAATGATAAATGATTTGCTCCAAAAATGCACAAAATGACGATACCTTAAGCTGAAATGTTACTCCTTGATCTAGGAAATACTATAACGAAAGCCCTTAACACACTAATCCGGACTGGTGCTCAGAGGACATTGGCACCGGACACGCAGCCTACATCCCGGACCAGCATCCCGATTTATTTAGGGCAGCAGTGTGTGACAGATTGCTGGGAGTATCCCACAACCGGGGAGGGCGCATCCCACTCCACGTTCCCACGTGGAGAAGCTTCTGGAACAGATAGGACAAACAAGCGCGAGCGATTCCCGCGTGGCTCGACAGGGGTAAACATGGCACCGGCGCGGAGAGTCCCCGGTAAACACGCCAGCGTGTTGACATGATACGGGTGGATTTGTGCGCGGTAATTATCGCCCGCTGGCTTTGGGGGGCAGCGGCGAAGATCTGAGGCAGACGTGTGGGTACAGAAACGGCCGCCACTGGCGAGCCAGCGCCGCATGTGGGAGGCTGGCTCTCTGGGCCTCGTCTATTCCCCGGGTTCCTGTAAGCGGCCCACACCCAGAAAGGAAGGCGGGATGCTGCCTTAAGCGAGATGCTCTCGACCGCGGCTTTCTAGGTCAGCACTACCTCCGCGTTGGACTAAATCCGTGTGCAGGTCTCCCCACGCCTCACTGAAATAATGTGCGGGTTTCCCCCGCCATCCTTGCTCCTCTAGAAACGCTCCTTCATCAGACCGCCAATCCAGAACTTCACAAACAGCATTTCCTATAAACTGCTACGGGTTTATTCATCCGATTGCATTTCCCTCCATGTAAAGAAGGAATTAACAGCTTTGAGTGAAACATACAACTAAACAACAACAACAACAACAACAACAACAAAAACTTCTTTACGCCCCGTAGCAGGTCTTTCAGTAAATGCCCACTGACAGTCAGTGTGGTACGGGGTGCCCCAGTGGGACAGGCACGGGGAGACCTCCATATACAATGTTCCCGCCACTCCATTTCGTCTAACGCCGTGCTTATATTTATAGCGACCGGCCAATTTACTATAGCTAACGATCGCAGGCAGTTCGGAAACAAATGAACATAGACTTTTTGTCTTGTGCGTGTTTTTGTCCAGGTTTGGCTCAGAAGGAAGCAGATTTGCCCACAAGGCAGGTAAAAGAGCGACAGGGGGCAAGGGGGGGCTACGATACGAGTGGCGATGCCGCGATCCTCGCCGGCGGCGCCGCACAGCCAGCGCCCTGCTCTCGACTACGGGATGTTTCCCCTGACATTTGCGGTAATGCTGGCTCTCGACGGCTGCTGCGCATCTGCAGTTGTCACCGCAGTGATCAGAATATAACTGAGAGTTCTCAGTTTTCGTGTCTCGGAGGTGATATAGTGCTTCTGTTTTCCATTTTAACACACTTTGCGACGAAATTCAAACGTCTGAATTTTCCCCTTGCGCTATTATTTGTCTCGGATGATGAGAAAGGAAAGCCTCCCCCCTCCGCTCCGTGGGACTGCAGCCCTAGTGCCCGCTTGCCTGTCGATGAAAGTTTACCGTGTCATGCGCAACCGGCTCTCCCACTCGGGAATACCGAGAAGAGCTGGCAAGCGCGCCGGATGACAGGTGCTGGAAGGTGCGTGAATGCCGGACGCGACATGAATATGCTTCATTAGGCTTTGATGAGTTTTAGGAATTTTCAGAGAAAAGCGCACAATCCTTTGAAAGGCCACATCCCAACATCTGCGGCTTGCAATGCTGTCGACCGTTATCTGGCTGCAGGGGGCGCTCTGTTCGGATAGCTGAGCGGGTGAGGGCACGCAAATGTTAATTCGGTGCAGAGCCACATCCATGCATAGCCGACAACTCTCTGCCTGTGCAGGATAGTGGCAGGGCAGCCTCAAAGAGGTGCAGGGCTTTACACCGACACATCAGAGAATGAAACGCAGAAATGTTCCCAGTGTAGAAGCACTTTCACAGACTCCACAGGCATGTAACTATCATGCTGTCCGTGAGCAAATATTTAAAACACTCGCAATAAAAATCAGGCCAAAGTCACTCTATTTACTTCACAGAAATAAACTCCAGAATTCGCCATAACATAATCCCAGGGGAACCTTCCTGATGAGTTTATCACTCACAAATTTTTATTTTTAATAATTTTTTTTTTTTTTACTTTAATTCCACTTGGTGTGTTTCTCCGAATGCTAAAGAGCTTCAGGGAAAACCAAATTGGTCTCACTGGTTTTTCTTTTTTATTTTAATAACAATGATGGGGGGTGGAGGGGGGGTCTCACAGGGAACAGGAGTGGGGGGGTGGATAAAGTGGGGGGTGGCACACAGACCATCTTTATTACCATCCAGCAGGGTGGCGTCTCTGTGCAAGCATCGTGACCTCATTCCGGTTACACTGCAAGGATCTGAGGAGTTGGGACAGGTGGATGGTCTCGGAGCCACTCACACCAAACGAGGGTCGAGGCTCACTGCACTCCCCTAAAAGGATGGAGCATGGCAGTGATGGGCGCAGAGAGAGTGTGTGTGTATGGCGTATGGTGTGCAAGGAGCTTCACCCATGATCAATAACCAGCAGAGTGAAAACACTTATCAGACAGACAGCAACATGACAAATAAGGATGGCTGAGTCAGAGCCTCGCGGTCACCGGGGTTTCCCCGCATTTGCCAAAGCTTCAGCTTCACCCGCTGTTTCTCGGTAATCGAGCAAAGGCATCTTGCCGTGGGCCGGCTGACGGCAGGGAAGGCCGCATCAGTGGGCGATTGGCGTTGGATTGGCACGCTCACCTGTATGCGGTGCTGGCCGGGATGGCCTGCATGAAATGCACCGCTGCCGTCCTCGCGCGCCAGTGCCACTTCTTGGCAGGCAGCGTGTGCAGGACGCAATCGGCCAGCTCTTCCTGCAGGAGGTCGACCAGCTGCTTGTGGGAGCCCCCATAGAAGGGCTCCACCAGGAGGATGCTCATGGTGGATCTTCAGCCGTGGCTCAGAGAATCTGAAGCTTGGGCTCCGATCTCAAGGGCGGGTCAGATCTGAGAAGGAAGATGGGAAGTTAAGGGACCGGGCCTGTGAACAGGAGGTAACAGGGTTAAGTCCTAGGTAGTGGCCTTGAGAAAGAAAGCTGACCATCATAGAGGGTGGCGTGTGACTCAGCCAGTTAGAGCACTGTGCTGGTCATCTGAAGGTCACCGGTTCAAATCTGTGGATCGCCAGAGCGATTTCTGCGTCAAGCCTCTGAGTAAGGCCCTTAACCCAATTTCTCCAGGCATTGGCTAATCTTGCTTTCTCAAAAAGGCAGAGAGCGGAATGCAGATAAAAGGAGAAGGACGACAACCCCCACTCTGCTATATGCTGGCAAAATTACAGCTAAAAGAAGAAGCAGGGATCACAGTGTTAAACCCTCACAAACTGTCATCGGCAAGGTTAGTTCCTCTATCGAGGCATTTTACTTAACTGGGGACTAAGTTAGCAAATGAGTAGATATATCAAGCCGCTTTGACTGTAGGCATAATCAATAATTCTTGTACTGATGCCTTTGCACCATTTTTACGTCATTTGCAAGACACATTCCTTTCTTACTGAATTGATAATCAGTGAGTCAACAAGTGCAGGCATACAGATGAGCTCAAACTCACCACATGCCTACTGTGCCACCAAATGCAGTTTCTACATTTTTTTTTTTAAAAGCAGCTTCTAAAGCAATCAAAGTAAAAACAAAAGTACCACCTCTTCAGATGGTCTTTGCCAAAGTACAAATTGTATTGTTAAACTGATCAAATGTTTATGGGGATTTACTCTTGCTTTTAAGCACTTTAAAACCCAGTTATACTCTTGAGAAAATGGTCTAGATGCTGCATGTGAATGGGAAGCTGATTTTTGTGATATGTGATACACATGCACCCTAACAACTGTCGTCTACAGGAAACCAGCAAGGAGTTTTTATAAAGTTACAGCCAAACTAAGGTGGGGTACAAGAACGGACACAACTGAACAGCGATGCTGCTTAAAATAGCCTTAAAATAACAAAAGAAAACATAAAATCAACCGCAAACCAAAAATACCCAGCTCTGTTCAAAAGATTGCCAAATCATCGCTGCCCTTTAAGGTCTCTCAGAAAATATTATGTCAACAGGCAGTTTGCATTCGATATTTTAGGAAAGTATGGCAGCCGTGGGAACTCCCCCACGCATCAGCACCAGTGATGCAGAAGCAGGCGACTCGAACAACCCCCACTGTATCATCCGAGAGCAGATCTTCAGCTCGTCGATACTGTACGGCTCTGAAAGCGGAGGCGGGGGAGAAGGTCACAGTGACAGCACTCTCCCACGCTCCGGGGATCCCCGCCACATGGGAGTCGTCAAGAAACAGGCATGTGACAGCCGCAGGTAGCAAAGCACCCTGAAGCCAGAGGACCTTCAGTGGCGGATCGGGCTCGGCACGGACTGAAGAATTTACCCGAGGGGAGTGCTCAACCAACAGGGAAGCGGCACAAGGAAAAAGGGTGGGAATTCACCCACGGCAAGCTCGCATCCATGACCCGCCATGCTTTTTATCTGCCGTTTGTATAAATAAAGGTACATTGGAATGTATTTGTTTTCACATTTCCCATCGTGCTCTGTGACAGAAAAGAACAAAACTTGGGGTCAGAGCACAGGGTCAGCCATTTATCCATAACCCCAGGAGAACATTTTTTTTTTGGGGGGGGGGGGTTAAGGGGCCTTACTCAAGGGCCCAATGGAGATGCTACAGTGACCATGGGATTCAAAGCAACAACCTTCCGATCACAGGTGCAGAGCAACCATACCAATATTGGTGTCGTGTCCGTGATGAGGGACGTCTTTCACTAGCAAAAGACTTCCTGGCAGGGCAGTGCAGATGATGTCACTTCCTTCACGCATCATGTCTCAGCCATCACCAAACCTGTCTGCTGCCAGCTGCAGATCAGCCTTTGGGATAAAATGAAAAATGGACTTATTACATCACTTTTATTTAGTTAACGCTTTTATCCAAAGCAGGGTCAGGCAGTTCCTTGGGTAATTGGAGGATAAAGGCCTTGCTCAGGGGCCTAATGGTAAAACCATTCAACTGACCCTGGGATTTGATCCAGCAACCTACTGATCAAAGGCACTGAGTCCTAACCTGCTGAAACTCGCACAATCCCCATGAATACCATAATGAGGCCATAAAAGGGTTAATCCCATAAGGGCTAATGATAGGGTCTTTCTTAAGGGTAAATAGGTTTGAAACAGGTGAGACACAGTCTTTAGAATCAACCAAATTCAACATCTCTTTTCTTGTACCGGACAATGGCTGTAGGTTTACCATAACTTCCATTTCAGAATTATCACAGAAAACAAATGACATTCAGGACTGAATGATGATGTAATGCATCCAATGATACATCTTCACTTCAGCTCACAGGAAGACTGGGCCTGAGGTACTGCGAGAACACTTTACAGAGTAAGCCATGTTTACCGTAAGTATCATAATAGTGTAACAGTGCTGTTTTACCAGACTGCTGGTTTAGTTTGCTGCCCATTCCTGTTCTGGCTGCTGTCAGTTTTCCATGTGTAACTGTAATCCGTAATATATTCCAACCTCGCATGAATATTCCTATGGCACTGGTTTGGTAATTACAGTTCAGTGACCTTTGGACAAGTGTCACAAACAGCATTAATAATCCAGATGAGAGCATTTCTTATGAATATTCCACGGCTCTTTATAATGGCATGCGTTTTTCAGATGGAATGTTTGAACTTTGTTTTATTTTTTCCACTGTTTGATTTCTATAAAATATCGCATCACCATAAATAATTCATGTCAATTAGCTTTTCATCTTCTAAGACACAAACTCATGTGATCCTTTTAACAACTATTTATTTCACACTAAAACAGAAATCTCCCCCAAGCACATCCCTATCGCCCGAGGACATATTTCTTAAATAAAAGCAGCAGATCTCTGCATACCTAAAATTAGCATATTAAAGGAATGAGAATTAGGCATCGCAGCCTAATCACTGCCTACCTCTACTGGAACCCCAGCCTCTTTAGGGTCTCCCCTCTGAGCGGGCCGCCACACTCTGGGCATTAGTGACGCATATCTTCCCTGCTTCATTATCCTCAAAACTATTCAGCCACTCAACTAACTCTCTCGGCTGATTTGGTTTCTTCGACAGCCTCCCCCAGATTCAGCTCTGACAGCTCAATCAGTGGGTGGGTGGGGGACTTAAAACATTCCTCACCTTTTCGAAATATGCTAAATGATTCCCGAGGTCCTTCAAACGGGCCGCGACTCTGTGTTGTTGGGGGCTTGGGGGGTGTGCCCGCCGAAGAACTCAGAGTTTAGTGACACCCGTCATCCCTACTGCCCATGACAGATGTCTGCCATGCGCTACAGGACGAGGTTGATGCACGTCTGAGGAGCCTCCAGACGGGTACGATGACTGGAATCCTTGATCCCTCTAGCATTGCCCGTTTACTGATATTCACTATTCATTTGTTTATTTATTTGATTAACTATCTACCCTCTATCCCTTCCCATGCTGCTTCTGACCTTCAGTAAACAGGCTATTGTTAAAGGTACGTGTAAAATTTTCATGCATACATACTTGTAAATCATCTTGCACATTACATGTTATATCGAGACACAGCCAGCAAGACAGATCCCTTGTATGCTTAATTTGCTTGCCACATAGACCTTCCTGACTGAGCAGTGGTTTGGTATAAGGGGCGGCGGTCAGTAACCTCTGATAGCATGATTAGCGCTCTGAAAGACCACGTGCTTGCACACCTTGACAAAACACAGGGCGTCAGACAATTTTGACAGGGGGAACACAAGGAAGGGTATCCTCTAACAGCATCAATGTGTCGTGTTTCATTGCTGGAGTGGTGAAGCTCGTATCATGTCTGTCGGTGCCTGAAGAACGTGACAATGATCTTTTGCAGGCATAATCTAAATTTATTGCATCTGTGCTGCCACTCTGACCACACTCACACCGGTCAGGCATGTAGGGGCCCCCATGACAAGGCACCGGCCCCTTCAGTTGGAACAGACACAGACATCATGCTTCTTCTGGGGCGCTACTCAGAAAGTCACTTTAGTCCCCCAAAAGTGTTGTGACTGTCTGTGGCCAACGGAGGGCCCCAAGCAAATACATAGTATGAGTGATCATAAACATTGCTGTTTCTGCCCTATACGACATATGTCTCTTTCAGAATGTTGAGCAAAGCTCATTTGATTTCTCTCTCGCATCGCCCCCTACAGGCGAGCTGTGGTGCAACACAACCCTGGGGCTAATTAATGGCCCCCATTGGCTGAGGACAGACAGGACTGTGGCCATAGCGATGACTTCCAGAACAAGCCGTTTGAACTGCACAGAATTGCTGGGCTCTCGCAGGATTCAATTCCAGAGCCGAGGCAAGGAAAAACACGAAAAACTCACAGTTGTTTCCATTTTAAGTTTATATTTACACACTTCAAACTAATGCTGGAGAGGAATCAGATTTGCAATTATATTCATATTCACAACTTGTGATTACCTTGTTTTTAAGCTACCTATAAAAAAGGTTTTTCTTATGCATTGTATCTGAAATCTAACTCCATTCAATTTTACTTTGTTTTGAACCTTTGGAATCAAACCATTTTTTTTATTACACTTCACGTGAATCTCACTTGAAAAAACTAAGTTGGGTAAATCAGAAAAAGAGGGTTTTTATATTAGAACTTGTAAAGCTGAAAGTGCTTTTAAATCCACTCGTGTAAGACGAGAGAGCCACACATTGAGTCTTCCTCATATAACAAGATCGTTCCCGACAAGTCTTCCTCATGAGACAGGACCACTCACTGCAAATCGTCCTCACATGACAGAACCACTTCCAGTGAGTCTTCCTCACACAACAGGACAGATTCCACCAGGTCATACTAATGCATCCTCATCCATCACTCCCAGCAGGTCTTCCTCACGACAGGACCACTCCTGGAAAGTTTTCATCACGTAACAGGACCACTTCCAAGGAGTCTTCCTCATGTATCAGGACTGATGCCATAGAGTCTTCCACATGTATCAGGATCGCCCCCATAGAGTCTTCCTCATGTATCAGGACTGATGCCAGAGTCTTCCTCATGTATCAGGATCGCACCTGAAAAGTCTTCCACATGTATCAGGACCGCTCCCATAGAGTCTTCCTCATGTATCAGGATCGCCCCCAAGACATCTCCTGGCAAGTCTTCCTCATGTGACAGGACTGCTCCCGTCAAAGGCTTTAAAGGAATACCACCCGCCCCCCTCCCCATAGAACTACGATACGTCATCGTACCTCAGATTCTACATAAGGGGGGTACTGAGAGGGCCTAATGATGAACCTAGCACATGGCGGGTGGGTGGGCTGTGGACTTCCTGTGTGGCAGGAGTTATTAGAAATGTTTGCTTCCCTACAGCCAACCCACTTGTGGCAATCGCACCGACCTGCCTTGGAACAGGACGATATGTATTCAGGACGATACTTGTGGAACACATGGTGTTAAATCCAATTACAGGTGATGTTCCTGCAGTGAACTTAATGATGGATGTGTTTGCTAGCATCTTACAGACAAACATTTAAGCGAATGGCTGATATCGCCTAAACAGTGCAAATGTATTCGTCCACAGCAGAAATGCATTTCTGGATTACCAAACGCCACATGACCAAAAGCTTCCCAGCATGCATTTCCTGGGAGGGCAGATGGGGAAATTGACAGCGGTGTGGCCTCGTCACGTGGCTGCTGTCCCACACGCAGACATGGCAGATCTGGCCGATCCTGCCAGGACCAGAGCCAGATCCACACCCGCAGCCCGCCACTGCCAGGCTTAACAGTTTAAAACAGACCCAAACAACCAGAATACAGGCCTTCCTGGGCAACCATGGGGACTGGGGCATAGGGAATGGTTATCTTTTTATTTACTAGCCTTTGTAATGGTTTATTTTTGCCTGTCAAGACAGAAAATATTCCTCAGAAAGGGTGCTCAGGTTAGAGTAGACTAGCATCCTGATGAAAAAGCTAAGTCTGGGTCTCGGCAAGACAGCATGTCACAAAACGTCCAGACGCAGCATGTGGAACCTCAGAAAAGGACGTGAGCTGCGGGAGAGAGAGAGAGAAATCCAAACGAAATTGTGAGCGCCTGACACGGGTCCCCGCGGCTCCCGCACCGGGCTGGCCCTCTGTAAACCCTAACAAAGTTATTACTCCAATCAGGGCCATCTGGCTTCCTTCACTTCAGGCCATTTTGGGTGTTTTCCCTTCAGACCGATCAGCTTTCTGCAGGTCCCTCTGCCAGCTAAGGTGCCAGTACTGTACGGCATTTTCTGGAATGATGTCTGTGACCCGCATGGGTGCATGAACAGCGAAGGTTAAAGCTAAAGAACACCTGCAGCACACACTCCGTAACAGCATGCGTGCATGCATGCCTGAGCGTTATCATGCAATTCATGGGGAAAATATTTCCCACGCACCAATCAAATAGAAACTGATATTCAAAGTGAAAATGCAGCCTGGATGTACAAATACTTTAATGTGAAGCATGATGTCAGCTTTCACAAAAGGCTTCTGTGACATGAGCTCCGTGGGTGTCCTCAACTTTGTTTCTGCACGGCGGCCTAACAGAAATCCTGCCCCACCAATGCCAGCGGTCTAAGAGCTGTGACCCAGGGTATCACCATCGGCCTTTTTGCTAAGTAATGCAGTCATGAAATCTTTCTGACTTGTCAGTTTTTTGATACAGACCCCATCTCCATAGATTTTATCTATTAGCCGCAAGGCAAAGTGAACATTTCTGCTGTTATGATTAAACTGAATGACAATGACTAAAATGTAACAGTAAGCAAGAGTCACCCAAGAGGACAAACTACCACAAATGTCAAAAAAACCTTAGAAAGTTGCCAGTCCCAGAACTATCATGTAGTCATTTCGTTTCATATGACTTGATATGTGCCATCCAAGCCTGTTTTATCAAGCATATTAACTAGAAAAAGAACAAATTAATACTCATTCAAAGAAATACAAAATATACCTTGCCATATTTATCAGAAATGTAAAAATGCATTGCGATGCTCAAAAATAACTAACATGCAGCAGAATTCATCACGGAGTATTTCAAATTTTAGTGTTTTCTGTGAAATTGCTTCTCTGAAAAATTAATAGGAATTATAATGCTACATATTTTACAGAAAAAGCCAACATTAAGTGCATGCACTGTAAAGCGTAATTTATAGATTTTAAAGCAAAGTTTAAAAGTATTGCGCTGGATGCAAAAAACTCGGCATGTGGAATGACATGCAAATCAGCTGCCATACCATTCAGGCAGAGCATGAGCTGGTTAGCGGAGCCCTGAAAAGCACCTTTTTGTGAGAGAACATTAACGCTTTAACAAAGCTATTTCCACTGGCTTCACGTAACACACAGAGAGTGATACTGCCCTGAAAAGCCTTTGATCTCATATTAAGAGGGGAGGGGGGGACTTGAAATTTCTCCAGATTAAGGTTTCAAAGCAGTGGAATGACTGAGAACTGACTCTGTTAATTGAGCAAGTCGAGTGCCATCATACTTCACAAGTATTTGTTTTATATTAAAGCTGATCATTAAAAAAAAAAAAAAAAAAAACCTGACTAATTATGAGAGCTGGAATGGGCATTAATCCTGCAGGGGCCAACGCACGTAACTAAAACCACACATGACTTGCTGAAGGTCTTTCTGAAGCTGTGAAAGACAGGAGTGTGAGGGGCTATTTTACGAAAGCATAAGCCCCGGTCTGGAAGCTTCTCCGTCAGAATGAGATGATGCCTTTAGACAGCCCCCAGTCAAGGGAGGGGGTGCCACAGTGATCTGCCACAGCTCCCCATTTGTTACGGTACTGAATGGTGAAACAAAAGGCCCCATCCACAACAGGCACTGGCAGACAGCTCCCCTCACTGCATCACAGTCAGATCAGCGACGGCACCATCGAAGGCCAGCCCTACGTCACTGGCAGGGCCTTCTTACTGGGCCGGTCCCACACCCAGCGACTAGGCCGAGCGGCATATACTGTAAATGGCCGCGCCAGCAACAGTCGCTAAAAGCCCATATGCGGTGCGTCTCCTGTTTGTCAAACTCTTCCATGCGGCGTTCCAGTTGTGCAAGCAGGAGGCTTGCAGCAGGCCCAAGTCCGCCACATGGGGTCACGACAGGTCACACAGGGTCATGCCCGAAAGTGCTTCTCCACAGCGCTCCCTTTTCATGCTTATAAACGGAGTGAGACATCCTGCAGCCCAGCGTCCAGTGCAGAGATAAATGCACATTTTACATCTTATTTGTTCCCCCCCCTTTATCTCTCCTGATACTGTCATCTGTTGCATAATTACATTTTACATTAAAAGACACCTTAAGTATAATTCGCAGTTCATGAACTTTTCTCCCTCTAAATTACACTCCATATAATTAACTTTCACCGTTAAGATTAATCCCTGTAGAATATACATACATGTGTTTCTACGGAGAGGTCTGACAGTGCGATGATTGCATTTGTAACAATGCCATGGCTGTAACGACTGAATTTGGCCCAAACAAATTCGACACATACTTTTCCCACTGGGTCTCTGGTCTGCTCCACATGCGAAAATACTTTACATATTTACCACAGCGCAACTGCCGTGTCTCTCAAAGCGAGGTTCAGCAAAAAACGATTTGAAACTTAATATTCAAATCAATATGCAAACATAATGACCTTTTTGAAAATTTACACATCATTTTCAGTTTTATATAAAAGCCAAAAATTTAGGCAATGACAGCATCATAAATATTTATAATAGCACTTAAAATTATGGTTAAAATTCTAAATGGTGGAAAAAGCTGTAATACTAAAAATGTGAATAGATTCTTCAGTAATATCAAAAGGCACGTGCTACATGACCACAGTGGCTGCACTTAACTGTTTTGCTGCCTTTCTGGAATTTTCCTAAATATTTATAACCATCCAAGAAGCCATTCTGACTTTCACAGAAATTTTACAAGAATGTATCACTGAACTCCAAGTCAAAGAAGTCTTTCTCCATTCATAAAAATCACTAATTCTGCAGGCAGTCAATACACAAAGAAGCACTATTAACAAAGCCGTGACGAACCAAGGTGGCACCCTCTCCAAAGGTCTGCCCAGAAATGCTCTCCTTGGGCGTATCACCAGGGACCATCTCCACCCTTGTGACCTACACAGAACAGATTCATGAACACGCTTATTGAAAAGCTGCCATCTTGTTTCCTGGCCTGATTTCTGCCTTAATCACATCTGGAACATCCTACAGCACAGACTCGCTTCCGTGAAGGCCGGATGTCAATTCAAACGGCTGGGGCCACACCTTTTCCGGTCTGCCGGTGAATTAACCTCCCCCAGAGATGCATGCTGAGTGCCCTTACTCGCTGCCTAAAAAACGGCATCATAAAGAGGGGGGGTCAGCACTGGACACCCATCCAGAAGCGGCCCACTTCTGAAGAGCCTGAGCGTCCGCCATGCTGCCGTACTGCAGTGCAGTAAATGTAAATGCATTTGTGCAACGTTTCGACCCAGCCCAAACCGTCCAGTGAGCCTCTAACATCAGTTTGGGCTTCACAATTAAAGCTCTCAGCACCTGGGTAGGGTACTTTAATATGACCAGACTAACTCAGAATATGGTTATACTCGATGATCAGAGGAAATCTAGGCAGAGACTATGGAATGGTGACTTATTAAACATCACAAACAACCTTCCCACAGTAAGGCTTGCTTCAGTGTTTTAAGAGAAGATAAAACTTCATTGATCCCAAGGGGAAATTCATGTGCAGCAAGGCACATGGAACACAAGCAAACATACACATAATGGAAATAATAGTAAATGCAGAGACAGTACAATCTGCACAGTGTCGTCGGGGATTGGCTCAGATGACTAAGGACAGAGAAGAATTTAACCTCCTTCTACTGCCATCCACTCTGCTTCGACAGGGCAGGGAGAGGGCGAGACACACAGAACTTTTTTTTTTCCCACTAAAAGTGAAATGGCTGAGATAGGCATCATGTGCCAGTTAAAGTGTCATGCCTTTCTGCAGCAATGCACGTAGAAAAGACCACTGCGGATCTGGATATGTGATGCTACAAATGAAGGGAGTACACACCTGTCGGAATGCCTACACCGGATCGGGGTGTGCGATGCCGCAGGTGAACGGGACACAGACGTGTCGCCTCTGCCAACATACGCACACGTGAGACCCCACACCACATATACGACCATGCAGAAAGCGTGCAGATCTGCGGCTGCAGGGAGTAAATGTAACGCGATTTAATTCGGAAACACGTACTCGGTAACTTTCACGGTTTTTAGGCAGCTAACTCTGTCGATTTAGTTTGAACGTTGCATCCACGTTTTGCTTCTGAAGTAAAAATGACGAAAGCCCATGCTAGACACAGGCTGTTTACTCCTCAGTATGCATCTATCTGCTTGTACAGAAAATAAACAATCACTAATGACAGAAAAGCTTTACACTCATCTAATGATGCTAAATAGCCATGTGCGATGCCAGCGATGGACAGTAGAAATGAAATGTTTCGGGTTCCTTTTGCAGCGGGCTTCCCACACGAACAAAGTCATATGTAAAACAATACAGAATCTGATGTATTAGTCACACATAAATGGTATTATACCTTTCGTTTAGAAAAGACGAAATGCTACTTGACAATTTGGAGGCTAGTCTATCGCTGCTCCACCACTTAAGTTTATTTTTTCTTTTTGCCTCATTGCATTACTTAAAATAAAACGATATAAAACAAAAGAGAGACGCTGGCAGCACGGTCGCAACACGCCGGACAAGTCGCGCTACTCAGCCAACGGCCGCTTAAGGAAGGGACTCACCTCTCCCCGAACGTGGACGGTCGCGACGCGACGCGACGCTGCGTGATGACGTACACCCGGCGTGTCACGCGGCTTGGGCTCGCGTACAGCTCGAGCGGAGGGTGCGCGGCAGGGTTGTAGCACGCGTTGGGGGGAACAAAGGCATGTTTTAAAATCTCTGTGTGTGATCGGGCTTGACAGTAACAGTAATGTATCTCTACAATAAATATTATCGATATGCTTAACTTCATGACATATAAAAATTGCATTATTTTACTCATGTCATATTATATTTATTGTTGTTCCATTAGTAATACTTAGGAGGAAAAAAGTTGTTTAGGTGAAATATGAAGGAGCCAAGACACACTGGGGCATAACTGGGAGGCTTTTTAGTGTCCAACACTACTGGGGATTTCTTCTGTGAAACAAGCTGTTCTTATCCCGCCTTATCTGCTGTGCACCTTCAAGCGCTAAGACTGCATCAAATTAAAATAAATAAAAGCAAGAAGGAGAAGAGAAAAAAAGCTCTGCAGACCCCTTCTCACACAAGGCTAACCCCCTTAGATTTGGGGAGCATTGTTGTCTTTGTGCCTTTTGCTGCTCGCCTGCTCTCCGCCTTGCACCTGCTGTATTCATCAGGCGCGCTCCCAGGCGCTCAGACCTGCGCGAAGCGGTGACATGCCATTGCTGTCCCGTATCAGCCTGCGCAAACAGGAGAACAAGGCGCATCTTGAAATGTGCATTATATCCTTATGCGCTTAAAATAATAATAAAGAAAACATATCTGGCCTATTTACTATGCCGACTTTAAGCGATCATAATTATCAGGAGGTATACATCACTTTTGTTTCCCTGCAATGATGTTGCTTAATTAATTAAGTCGTGGGACTGATGCGATGCTCTTGAGAAAATCAGAAACAGTTCGTCGACCAGTTGGTTATCTGCAACTGATGCCAATTTAGCTGAAGTCAAAGACGGCAAACTTCAAAGAAAGGATTATAATTAAAACCTCTATAAAAACGAAGGCACATCTAAGCGGAGGGTTTTTTTTTGCAATTTAAAAATACGTTCCAAATCGGATAGTAGTTGTTCAAATTGATATAGGCTACAGAGAGAAAAACTACAACTCGGTTATACGCAAAAGAATAACAATTTCTTTTTTGTACAAATAATAATAGAGAAAGACGAATAGAATGCATGCAGATTTTAATTATCAAGGACAAAAAGTAGAAACTATTAACTACTGCCTAGAAGTTCACCTGCCCCCTTTCTTAAAATTAATTCTGAACTTTGAACACCTCTCCAAAAGAAAGTCTGCTCTGTGAGCTTGGTGAGTGGTTCGTTTGGGTAGCACTGCCCGAAAAACACCGTCACTAGAGCAGGAGAGAAGAGCGTATTTGGAGTAACTTCTGTTGCTCTGGTGCATCTTCTTTTGTTTTTTCTTTTTTTCTTTTTTGTTTTCTTTTTCCTTAAGACACCGTTGGCATTGCGGTATACCACCTGCTCCAGCCCCCTCTCCGCTACGGCCAGACCGAACAGCTGGCTGCCTTTCTGACACTCTGCTTGGCTCGTCCCTGCTGGTCACTTGTGCTCTTCTCGCCTGTCATTGAATTTTCTCTCAATGGGTGCCAAGTCTGCGCTTCCTTAATGGGGACGCCCTCCGCCTGCCCCGCGGATAATATGGGGAGCATATGGGGATATGTATATGATTTAATAAGGTCAGAAGTCAGCNCCGCCCGCCCTTTCCTCTATAGAAACGGACAAATGAAGCGTTACCAGAAACTGTCGCCGGGTGTTAAAGAGAATCTGGAACATTTGGTGATTCCTCTTTTAGATTATACACACTTCTGCTGATTTTGTAGAGTCGTCTCTGTTAACATGCACTCCATACAATTTACATGACTCGTCTTGTTAAATAATTTAAGGATTAATCCAATGATATTTTCGGATGTTTGTATTTAATAAGTGTATATTAAGAGCAAAAGCTCACTCAATCCACTTTTTTGTTATTTGTGAGATCAGATCGCCAGATCGCCAGTGACCTAAAGTCGGGCTTCATCAGCATATGTTGCAGAATTGGGAACCAAAACTCACTCAGTCCTCATTTAATTCAACGAAGACCTTTCGTTATATTTCCAAAACCAACTAAATTTTCTTGAAAACAACCTGGGGACTGAGTGAGTTTTGGATATTTACTCTTCACTTTCTAAGGCATGAACTATGCTGTCGGCCATGATGGATCGAGTCAGGGTGTTCTCATGCCAAAGTGACGACAGAAATGTGCCAAAGGCAGGATATTGCCCTGTCGGCAGCTCCAGCGGGCTCAGGAAGAACCAGTGCCAATATTAAGTCATATTCAAATATTGGAGATCTTTGTGGAAGCAGTTTTGACCCTTAGTGAAAATGCACAGGTCCTCCATGCAACCTGAGCCCACAGAAAAAGCCAGAGATGAGTCACCATGGTGAGGCTTTCCAAGCACACGGGCGGCCCGGCCAAGAAAAACTGCCGCACGGTAACATGCAGGAGCCTGGTGGCGCAGTGAACTCCGCATAAGCCCAGGGAACTTTGTCGAAGTTTCCATGAAAATGCAGGCCGGAAGCATGAGGGCACTATGGTAAAGAACATCCTATATAATAATAATAATAATAATAATAATAATAATAATATAGTTGTATGATCAATGTAATAATAATAAAAGAATAATCATATGTTTGTATTACGAATCTATTATTATTGTTATCATTATAATAATTATTATTAATATTAATAATATTAATAAACATTAAAAACTACCATGATAGTGAAAGACAACACATGCAAAAGAGACTGGCACTAAATATAAACATGCAATTACAGCACCACAAGGACCAGAAGCCTTCAGTGTGATTAGTCATCAATACTATTCATTTTTATTATTGTCATCAGGTAAAACATTGCAGGGAATTAATATGAACAGAAATCTTGGTATCTTTTCTATATGCTGTTCGCACGCGTATTCTCATTATTAGTGTGTGCATGCATGCAGATGGAATGGTGTCTGGCTTCATGCGCTTCATGCTATACATGCATATATGTAGGATTTAAAAAACGTCTCATCATCATCATCATCATCATCATCATCATCATCATCGAAATAATGAAATGCATTGCTTTTATGTAGCCTGAAATCAACCTGCATTGGTTTGGGTAATATAACCCAAAAAACAATATATAGTGAATGCGCATATATATATATATATATAAAACACATATATGCATTCACTATATATATATATATATATATATATATATATATATATATATATATATATATATATATAAAGAGCCAGTTTAGGTGTGGAGAGTGGCACAAGGGCCTACCTCCAACTCCCTGCTACACTGACCTCCAGTGTGAAGTGCACTGCAGACTTGCTCTTATCACACCTCGGCTCGCACTGCTTTATTATTCACTGTATTTGCACGGCGTCTTTCATTCTGTCGCTTCTGCATTTGAGATCTGTGGGTCTGGGCTGTGCGAACATGATGGCCCCATCACCCTCAACACACCAGCATAATTATAAATGTGGTTTAAGTGACATGTACATTCGCTCTTTGTTCATCTGCAGAAGTAGGAAATGACTCTGGTGAACTTTCGAAAGGCTGCTGGATCGATGTAAAAATGTGAACATGCTAAGTGGCATGGTGAGAGATGCCGGCATCCCTCTGATCTCTGCGTGTTCGGTGTGAACCTGACACAACTCCGCTTTGGTTAAACATAAAGACCCAACCATTCTGATTAAAACACTGCAGTTTTCACCTGATGATTAATGTATCCATTTGACTGAATGCTGCAGTTGTGCTGTTTTCTGTCACAAAAGTCTCTTACAAATTTGTATGAAGTTCACATATTGTAACAATCCTCCTTGGAAGAATACTG